AGATTTGGACGAGCCGCGGAGCAGAAAATCGGAGGGGTCCGGGACAGAAAATGGGAGGGCTCCGGCACAGAAAATGGGAGGCCTCCGGCACAGAAGATGGGAGGCCTCCGGCACAGAAAATGGGAGGCCTCCAGCACAGAAAATGGGAGGCCTCCGCACAAAAAATGGGAGGGGTCCGGCGCACAAAATGGGAGGGGTCCGGCGCACAAAATGGGAGGGGTCCGGCGCACAAAACGGGAGGGGTCCGGCGCACGAGTGGCAGACCCCCCGCTGGGGAAACCCCGCGGCCCTGCCATTTCTGCGCCGGAGAGGTCCGATCGACTGTCTGAGATTATCTTTTTTCGGCCACAAAGAACGATATCCCCTTTGCTTTTTGTCCCAAAACAATTCCACCTTGCTTATGAGCCACCCGTTCCGAACCTGCTTAGTTGAGGCCTCTCAATCACTCTCCACAAAATCAGTGAAAATACCCTCTACTCGTGGGATCTAAAAAAAATCAAAGACCGAAAACTTCGTTCGCCCTGCAGACAACTCAAAAGCTTTTTTCTGCCGAACACAAGCAATTCTTGACATCATTGTCTAGACAAAAGGCTGAAGCAGCGTCTTGTCAGTTCTACGTACTTCATCTGAAACTATGAGTTGCGTTATTGGTTTGGAGGTGTGGATGCTATGACAATTCTATAAAATTTCTCATCTGGATAGGCTTCTACAGGTCGCAGGTGTTGTTTCATAAATCTAAATACATTCCCGTTTCCATGTGGCACTCGACGAAGATATATGTGTCGTTTATCGAACGAGGAATAAAAACTGCATTCGTCAGCGTTCGAGCGGCGCTCAGCAGCATTTCTGCACGTAGTTATCTTTTGCACTTTCATTCGACACCATAGTCAAGTGCCCTCTCTTCATATTTGACTTCTTGTGATCTTCAAAATCTATGTTTCATTTGTCATTTACATTCCCATTCTTTTCTGCTATAACTCCTTGTCCCTCATCGCGCCCTCAAGTGAGTTATGATAACGACATACTTTCAGTACAAACGGTCTTCTAACTTGTGCTTATCTCGACGGAAAACTTTTTTCTGCCCGTTCGAAATTTACGCTTTAAGGGCGGGCATACTTCAAGCGATATCAGTCACGACGCGATTTGGCAATTTGCCAGAAACCTTCCGATCCAATACTAACAAACTCCACATGTATAGTGTGTGAAAATTACGTGGCTTGATAAATTGTCCTATCTTCTGTACACTTAAAAGGTGTCTACAGTGAGTTATGAACACTTGGAATATTGCCAAATCGCGTCGCAACTGAATTCGCGTGAAGTATGCCCGGCCCTCAAAGGCAGAGTCCGAGCAAGGTGGGGGTCTTGGGATTTCAGTGCCCTGCTAAAGTGGCCCCCTCAGACACAACATCGCGAAAGTGCGAGGTCATAACGTTCGACCTAAAAGCAAGAAAGACTACTGGAAAGTGGTGAAACTTACGCCTTGGGGCGGGTCCTCCGACCTGTTCGAGCTTTGGAAAACGCATGTTCTCGCCGTTTTCGCACCTTCTAATGTAGATTTTCGGATTCAGCGTTGCGGATAACCCCCGGCAAGTGGATTTTCTAGAAATCGGTTTTTGCCCGGACACTGCCTTTAAGTCATGATAACGATAGAATTTTAAAACAGAGTCTTTCTGTGCTCATGGCCGTGAGCATACCTTTTGATTAACTGACTTGGCGGTTGGAAGGCGGGGCTTCATGACCTAATTAAGGCTAGGTGATGATCAGAGAGCACGCGCGCAGGGGAGACGCAGACTGAGTCGTGAGCGCGAGCGGCCTTAAAGGGAGCTTCCGGGCAGATATGAGATTCTACCGTACAAGGGCTCCCGTCCTGGTGAAGCCTTTGCCCAGCTGGCAGTGCACTGATTCGCTTCTGGAGCGAGAAAACCGCTTCAGAAGCGGCGACCGAGACACCCCGACGACCTGTCCTCAATCGATAGCCAGAGTACGTATGTCGCTCACAGTCAAGGCGTAGGGTCCCACCACGACTCTGCGTCTTAAAGGCAGATCCCCGACTTCCATGTTTTTGCCGTTTCGGGGCCTTCATATCCCTGATTCCGAATATCGGATCGAGAATCCGCAAAAATCCCGAAAATCCAGTTCCCAGAACTTGCATGGCGAGTTCTCCGGAATGGTGATTGGCTGGGCGCGCGGATGGGCGGGACGAACGTGGAGGAGCCAACGTGGCGAGTCCGTCATCTGAGCGATGTGCGAAGCAATTTTCTTGCTTCGCAAGCAACTATTAGCGGCGCGAGTTGGGGAAGTATAGAGTTGGGGGCTCCACTACTATTAGCCATCAAAATCTCATCGACCCCCATTTTGCGTGGACGGTGCTCTAACCTCGGCGGCAAGCTTCCATATTCAAAATCAAGGTGTCCAGGCAAAAACTCGATATCTAGAAAACCCACTTACCGGGAGTTATCCGCAACGCTGAATCCGAAAATCCACATTAGAAGGCGCAAAAACGGTGAGAATTGCGTTTTCCAGGGACGGTTACCGCCAAGGCAGAGACGCAGAGTCGCTGCGGGACCTTACGATTTTGACTGTTGCGGCATGGGTCCTCTGCCGCATAGCAGGAATTCGGACAGCTCGGAGGACCCCACCCCAAGGCGTAAACCCCACTTTCCGGTCGTTTTTCTTGCTTTAAGTTGAGCGTTATGACGTCGCACTTGCGCGATGTTGTGTCTGAGGGGGGAGGGGGCACTCTCGCATGGCACTGAAATCTCAAAACCCCCATCTTGGCTTACACTGCCTTTAACTAGGTCACAAAGACCCACCTTCCAGCCGTCACCCCATTTAAACAAAGGTTACCTCACGCGATTTCAGTCGCCACGCGGTTCGGCAATTTGCCAGATGTCTTCATATTCAAGACTAGCAGACTCCGAATGCACAGCATGTATAGGCTGCTGCATGACGAAGGCCATATCTTCGGACGCGAACGCGGCTTCATTAGCCGCAGAGCGCATAAGACGCGGGATTTGCAATGGTGAGAAAAAGAGCGCGTCGCATTCGCGCCCGCTCAACTGATACCGCTTCTGCGCCTTCGTCATGCAATAGCCTTTCCAATATTTGTCGGTATAAAAATGCTCTATCTTCCGTACAGTCAGAAACCCCTCACGATGAGTTACGAACAATTGGAGTATTACCAAATTACGTCGCGACTGCAATCGCGTGAGATATGCCCAGGACCTAAGTCAACGGAGAACTTTTTTCTGCCTGTTTGAAATTCACGCGTTACCAAGCGGATTTTTTGAGCTCGTAAGAACCATAGATGGTGTCGAAGCATGTACATGTCGTTAACAACCTATCAATGCATAACCTCGATTTGATCACAGAGGATCAAAGCACGCCGGGTGGTTTAAAATTCAACGAGACACTCACGTAGATAAAAAATGATATTCTTTAGCTAGCCTACTACGGGAATCAAAAAGTTAGCCATTTCGTTGCGCGGGCTTACTTTTGCGTAAGAATTTTTGCGAAACTTTTAGAATATTTCGTTCTGATGTTCTCGTGCTCTAGAAGCTCTAATGCGTTTAACTCATCGATCAATATTTTTTTTTGAAGATTTACGACACGGCCGCTTCTCTCTATCATCAGACTGATTTCTCAGCATAAAAGAATTTGAATATATGAGTGGGACCAGTATAAACATAGCACTATTCGATCTTTTCAAATGGCGTGTAGACAGATTTAGAGACAGGATATCCCTAACCTTTTTTTAATTATCTAGGCTTACAAAATTAGAAGTGCATACGTTCCTATATCAGCAGTTTGCAGTCACTTCATCATTCCTACGTTCAAGATGAATTAGATGAACTATAATTCTCATTCCAACAAAGGAAAGTGACCGATTACTACAAAGTGCATTTTTCATTGAGAGCTTGGGACGCTTCCAAATCTGCTTGTCTTATCTGCAGAGCGCTGGGATTGGGAAAGAAGTTATGAGTATTTTTTGAGGCAGAAAAATGACTCGATGGGGACAAATTCAGTCGTTACTGCCTCGTTAGACCTCATATAAAGCAATGGCAAGTGTCAAGACACATCATACAACAAACTTCTAGTATATGAGCACTTCCTATTTCACCATCTAACGTCCAGAAAGGCTGTAATGATTTTATCCGGCAATTGGTTCATTTCTTGCCTCAATATATGCTCATAACTTCTTTCCCGAGGGCGCTCTGCAGATATGGAAAACAGATTTGGAAAAAGCCTTCAAAGCTCCCAATGTTATAGTTTGAATGATCGGCACTTCGAGTTCGTGATCCTCCCTTGTTAGAACCACAAAAAAAAGAAATTCTTATTTATTAGCGAAGCCGTAGTTTGTTTCGTAGTATGCAGGGACAATAAAAGCTTTTGATGCTCTTCATCTTCATTGTATAAGCATCGAATCTGTAAAAAGGAAAAGTATACGCCGCCAAAACCGCATCATTCCGCAAGAAGCCATCCTTCAATTCATACTCAGACAATCGCACATGACTTCCGAGGAAAACTAAACTTCTATAACTTCCAGGGCGAACGCTCCTTTTGGGCCGTGGATAGGGCCCGCTCGCCTCTCTGGATTGGACTCCTCCCTACCTGGCAGCTCCAATAGGAGTGTCCCCCGGAAGTTCCAAAACTTTAGTTTTCCCCGGCAGTCATTTACGAGTGTCTGAGTATTTAAGCGTTTCCCAGTCGTTATCCACATTTCCCACTTCTCACTGCTAGAAGCATCATGATCACTTATTTTGGGCGGAACTTCACGAACATTATGTGAATCAGACGGAAGCTCTTTCGATACCTTTTGTCCTCGTAAAAAATTTGGGAAAAGAGTAGCTCCCAAGAAATGATTTTCTAAGACGGGTAAATGTGTTCCGTGGCCTTTTAACCTGCTTTACCTTGTTTGGACCGTTTTTGTGCGTAGTCGCTACGTTATAACATGTTTGAGCTTGTGAGATAACTTAGCACTTTATAACGTTCAATCATACATTTTTCAGTTCGTCTTTAAAACGTGAAGCGCACGATCCTTAATTCACCACGATGGTTAGGGAAGACAGAACAACATGGAAGGCCAACTATTTCCTGAAGTTGATCGAACTTTTTGACGAGTATCCCAAATGCTTCCTTGTCGGAGTTGACAATGTTGGATCGAAGCAAATGCAGGAGATTCGTCAGGCTATGCGAGGTGAACTTTTTCTTTCCAAAATTGAGAATCTTCCCAGGCACCGGGTAGAGCTGCTTGTGCCAACGCCATCGACCGATCAATACGAGGAGCATTCAATGCGCTGGCACGGCACTGGCACGGCGCCGGCACACTGGTACCTCTTGACGCACCTTACTGATACTTTAAACTTTCAGGGCATGCGGTTATCTTGATGGGGAAGAACACCATGATTCGAAAGGCCATCCGTGGACATCTGGGAAAGAATCCGGCATTGGAAAAGCTACTACCTTACATTGTTCGCAATGTCGGCTTCGTCTTCACTAAAGAAGATTTGGGCGAAATTCGCTCCAAATTGCTAGAGAATAGGAAGGTATGTCGAGATTCACATCACTTTTCAATACGGATGTTACTCTAACACAAACTCTTGAATGTAAAATTCGCTGAGCACACAGTTTCTCAAAGTGTTATGACTGATAATCATTCCGGTCCCTTTGGCGAGTTACGGTAGGTAAACGGTATAGATCTGAAATCTCAAATTCGCTGGGAGACTTGGAATAAACGAGTCATCTTGCATGTTGATTATAAATATCACATCCACTTGTCAAAGTAATCCCACTTTGAGACCTAGTTGGAATTCTATACCATATACATATCTACCGTAATTACATCATTAGGTGACCTTGTAGGAAAATGGATACTGTCCGTGATCAGCACGTTAAACCTCCTTTATGGTGGCAAGAGATTTCTAAATTTTTACAACATGTACACCTACGGTAACCCACAGAAAGGCCCTACCATGTGTACTAAACACCATTTGATGAGACGCAAAAAATACTTGTGTGCAAAATTCAAGCAAAATGTGGAATTTTGTAGTTCTCGGTTATGTAAATGGAATTTTAGATGTGTGGAACATTGTGCTATAAGTTTTTATTCAACAAATTTATATTTCAAATTGCCATATCGACTGCAAAATCCTAATTTTTATTTTAGGGTGCTCCTGCCAAAGCTGGTGCAATTGCACCTTGCGATGTGAAGTTGCCACCTCAGAATACTGGTATGGGTCCCGAGAAAACCTCTTTTTTCCAAGCTCTACAGATCCCCACCAAAATCACTAGAGGGACCATTGAAATCTTAAGCGAAGTCCACCTCATCAAACAAGGAGAGAAAGTTGGAGCTTCCGAAGCCTCTCTGCTTAACATGCTTGGCGTGACACCCTTCTCGTATGGACTTGTCGTTGTGCAGGTGTACGATAATGGTACCATCTATTCCCCAGAAGTGCTGGATATGACCCCCGAGGAGCTGCGCAAGCGCTTCATGGAAGGAGTTCGCAACGTTGCCGCCGTTTCACTCGCCATCAAGTACCCGACAGTGGTATCTGCGGCCCATTCGCTGGCCAGAGGACTTCAGAACATGTTTGCCATCGCTGCTGCCACCAATGTCAGCTTCAAGGAGGCGGATCAGCTTAAGGAAATGCTGGCCGACCCGAGCAAGTTCGCCACCGCCGGTGCAGCGGCACCAGCCGCCGGCGAATCTGCTCCTGCCGCACCTGTTGCGGCTGCAGAAAAGAAGAAGGAGGAACCGGAGGAGGAGTCTGAGGAAGAAGATTTTGGCTTTGGCCTGTTTGACTAATCATTTTACAAACATTGTCAACTTGCCGCTTTTGGTCACACCCAGTAATTCAAAATTTAGTCCGACCGTGTAGCTTTTGTACTAAGCGAGATAATTCTTATTTTGATGCTAGTATACATCCAAGTTGTTCACTTTAGGGCATCGGCATTGTTGTAGTCCTTGACTGATCTAGATCGCTAAATCATGACAAGTTTTTGAAATATTATAATCATGCTCCTGCCTGAAGTCCTCTTCTTAATCGCCTGCGTTGTTTTGTTGAAAAGTAATAAAGCTAGTAAAGGTGAAGTACGGTTATTTTTGCCAAATTCTGACGTTTTGACAGATCTGAATGCTCAAAAGATGAAAGATGATTATGACTGATGATTGCGCCGCCGTATATGTACTCCGCTACGTAATGTGACGCTCTACAGGCAGTCGCCTTCTTTCAGCTCAAAATTGCTGGCAATGCATAATTACAAGGATTATTATTGAATCTTGTTTTACGAATACCATGCAACGCAATTGAAGTTGTACCATCAGGTTGCGAAAGTTTTTGAGCGATTGCGCAAAGCAAGCTAAGACCACGTTCTCTCTTTCGAAAAAATTTCCTTAGTCCCTCCCAAAGAACTCTCGGCTGTGCTATGTGACTGTACATGATTCAAAATAGCACAAAAACTTTTTCAATAAATTCATCTTTTTTGTTGTTCATTTGTTTGTTTATTTTCGCAAAGATTTGTTCAGAGTGATCCAGTTTGGGGAAGGGGGGAGGGGGAATTATAATACCGCTCGCAGTAAAAAAGATCATCGTAGCGTGGGCGTATCTCGCTTCAGAATGGACAAGTTCTTAATCCAAGGGCACCATTCGACTCAACTTGGCGTGGCGCATTTTCTAATATATAGAATCTTGGGCACAGTAGGAGGCCAAATTCCACGAATCGTTATAGATTTTTGCTTACGATAGGTCGCCCAGTTTGTGCAATGAGTAAGCACACTGAATAACCCACTAAGCAGAAATGTGAAACGATTCGTGAATCTGGCCTCCTACTGTGTCCAAACATGCACTTCTATCAAAAGATGCGTCGAGCTGAATCGAATGGTGCACTTAGATTAAGAAGTTGTCCACTCTGGTGAGAGATATGGGCCACAGAGGAAATTCGTTAGATTTGTGGGCTTTAGCATAGATTTGTTCAATTACAGTAGTTGCATCGATTGCATTGACAGTATAATTGCAAAAATATCTTGTCCACAGAAATATTGTTTTTGTTGGAGCTTAGGTTTTTCGTTTTACATTCACGTATCGCAAACATGCAAAAAGTCAGACTCTCTATTAATAAAAAGTTTTGAGAAGCTTTTTCCATTGGTTTATGAATTTTTCGCCAAGCCCGCTGCAATTTTTGGTTTTGATATCCACCTTTGCCCTTCACGCACTACTGATAGGGCGGTTGCTTCAGCCATTTTCAAGCAGTATAGTACATCGTCAACTTCTCATATTAGAATCGAAAGAGCTTTTCAAGACTTTGAAAACAGGTAAAAAAAAATAATGAAAAAAGTAATGAAACCAAAGCTCAGATTTTTCTCAATTTTATACTCATCTTTCATATCTTACTCTCTTTTCCGAATGGTTTTCTTTTTGAATGGCGCATTACAGTTGTAATGTACTTATAAATATAAATATAAATATAAAATTCTGATTTTGAGTATTTATTTTGTGAACTCATCTGCATTCAACACTGAATGGAACAGTAAAATCGAAGTCCGCTAGTGTAAAATTTTGTTTTCAATAGGCATTCTACTTTTCTCCGAATGCAAACTGAATACATCTAAAAACCGCTAGTTAGCTGTCTTGCACAAAAAAATCTCATGTGCTTGTGATAGCAGAATGCTTTTATTTATTCATCGCTTCAAACAAAGACGAGAAATGTGGGCTGTTAACATAAAAAGTAGTCCCCAGCAGCTGGAAATTATCGACAGTTTTCTCAATGCCCTTGCACCGACACGCGCCACCACGAGTACTGCGTCAATAAAGTCGTGCACATTTTGGAAGGAGCCATGCCGCTGCCATGCAGAATTATGGGAGGTTGAAGCCGAGTCTTTTCTTTGAGGCTTGGCGAAATGCCAAGGGAACTGTGAGTAAGTGGAAGAAGACAAATTCGTCGCTGGAAGTTTCTGACAAAACTCGGAAAGTTGGCAGTTTTGCGCGAAGTTTTGCTCTTGAAAGCAGCACATGTTCTTTTCCATGTATTTTTCGCCTATGAAGGAATGATAAGGAGGTGGAGATGAAGATGGTGTCCGTCCTAAAGGCCGACTGTTCGTGGTCCACTTCTTTTCTTGGCTTCGTCCACGAAATACAAGTGAGGGACATGCTACTTCGGACTCCGCATCAGAACTGAATTCTCTTTCCTCGTCAGGTGTAAATAGTTTGACATAGCCTGGTTGCTGCGCAGCTTCGAATAAATCATCGGCATTTCTAATTCCTGTATGGTAGCCTTCTCTACCACAGAAATAGACCTCGTTGGTAGGGAGGTTGAGACTTCGAATCCATTTTTTGTACGCTTTGAACAGGTCATTTTTATTTCTGTAAGAAACGTTCAGTTTGTCAGGCACGTTGAAGTGAAGTGAGATTATCGCAGTTTTTCCGGCATCAGGCATAGCAGCATTGATAGAAGCGAAGAGATGCAGAGTATAGAACCGAAAAGGGGAGAGGAGAACAGGTTTGGGCGGTGCTATCAGAGGTAAAATAGATTAGCAATAGTATTGCACCATATTGCGAATTTTTGCACCATTCACATGACACTTCGCTGTGTGCTGATGGCTCTGTAGGTTTAAAATTTCTTATATTCCCACATAGTTATTAGTTAAGACAGTGTATTGAGCGGAAATCCCTATCTCTCCATGGGACTTCTCCTCCAAATGCCAAATTTTTTTGTTCTTTATCAATTTTGTGGAAGATGAAAAGTGGAAGGAAAAGTTCCTATTTTATAAGCGGCTGTTTAGAGATTAGCGCTTCTTAATTTTACATATGTAAGCTGGGATCCAAGAAAATCTGGAAGCGGAGAGCTAGAATCGTATCGTTTTTTATGTGTATACCCATCCATTCCATGTTAGAGCTTTCAAAAACGTCGCAAAGAAGCTATGATTCCAACACAGAGTGATTTGTAATAATAAGTCAGTAGTAGACGGAGAATCACCAGCGTTAATATTCAGACACAATCATTCAGGTACGAGTCGAAGTAATGCGAAAAAAATACCCAAAAAATGCCTCACTTCAAAGAATTCACCGAACTTTCTTCACTGCCAAGACGACAACGGCTCCTCTTGAACTTACGGAATATCAGACAAACAGCCGAAAGAACTGACTAACGACTGATGCTGATTTCTCGGATACAGGGTTATGCTGCCAAGAGGAACCCGGATGTGCAGAAAAACCATATTAAACAAACAGAAACTGAAGGAATTGTAAAATTCAAATTTACTTCAAGCTTTCCAGTTTCAAGGTTGATTCACTAAATGTTTTGTATCACTTTTACTCAGCCTTTTTCAAATTACGACAATCAGTATAAAGACAAAACAATAAACATGCAAAGAATATCAAAGTGAAGTCGCCTGAAAAATCAGAAGGTCTTGTTCGTTGTCGAGTCCTATTCTCCAAAGTCAAGGTCCCAATCAGGTGGCGGAGAACTTGAGACGGAAGCGGTACTATCTTGCGACCGACTATTTGTCGTTATCTTCTTCTCTCGACTTCGCCCTCGGTTTTCGTCCTTATTCTCCTCATCTTTATCGGAACAAAAATTCAACTCGTACTCGCATCCTTCACTGTAAGGAGTAAACAGCTTAGCATAACCGAAATTATGGACAGCTCCGAGAATGTCATCAGCGTTTCGAATACCCGTATGGTCACCTCCTTGATCGCACCAGTAGACTTCGTTAGATGGGAGATTGAGGCTTTTGATCCATTTTTTGTACTGCTTGAAGAGATCGTACTTGTTTTTGTAGTTGATTGTGATTGATTCGTTCAGCTTTACAGGAACAACTTGAATAACGACTTCTTTCTCGCTTTCGGCCATGAATAGAGGAGTAGTAGAGATGGAATGAATAGATTAAATCGCTTATATCGAAGTGGCTGGGGCGGAGAGTATGCAAAATTGTGTAATTCAACGAAATGTTGCGCAATCAGAGAGCCTCCTGCTTATGTTTTATCTTTCAATCTTTCCTCTTGTTTTGTCATAAACTACTTTCCATAATTGTATTAACACATTGACGACAACGCGCACTTTGTTTGTCTGTGTGGTGGGGCAGTGCCTCCCACGAAAAATTTGGAGATTTCTGTATAAACATGCAGATCTTAACCAGCGGTGTAGATATACCTAGATCAATTCCGAAAAGCAGTCGAGAAAGGTGGAGGAATTGCTACGGTCAAAGAGTAAGAGAACTTTAGAAACGGGCGTATTTCAAATTGGCAGTCATCTTGACAAAATCTAAGCCACGACCCATCATTTGGGTCACATTGTCTCACATGGCGTGTGGAGTGTGACATACGTATGAGTTTTGCGGAAAGCTTTTCCCTACGCACTAATTAGTTACTCCTCGCAGATATCTGTTAAAGTGACAACAACTTTAAATAAGTGAATTTTAGTAGGTCCTACGGTTTAATGCTCCTGCAATATAATTCTGATACAGAACTTCTGGCACTTTTCCTGTTTCGCTTATCGAGGGCTTGAGGCGGCGTCATAAGCTGTTTGCGAGGAAAGACGTAAAATGCAACTTCGTCAATATTGCTCCTGTGAAGACGGTGGTGTTAAAAGCAGTGGCTCGGCATATTCTCAACTTGAAGGTTTTTCGCTTACCTGGGGTAATTCGACGCGCTGATTCCGAAATATACCTTGGAGAGCGCGAAAATGGCGAAAACCAGCATTTTTTAAGGCCCCTCATTTTGAATTTGGACGAGTGGAACCGTCCCAGCCACTCAGACATTCTCAGACACTCGCTGTTGACTCGCGCCGGAGATCCGCCCCTTTTTGAGGGATTCGCGGGAAA